TAATTATGACCAAATCTCCCCCATGGCCCTGCCGTGTTTGCTTTTGGACCTGTCAGAATGGCGGGCGGGCCAAATCAATCTTAATAAAGTTGGTGCTTCAGGAGTCTCCCCAGAAATGGTGTCACCGTCAAGGTGGGTATGATGGAATCATGGGGAGCAAGGGGGAGAGCACATTTGGGGCCACGGGGTGGCCAGTCAGTGGGCCAGTCAGGCATTCATCACGTGTGGCCAGTTTGGTCTTCTGAGTGCCCGGCCAGTGTCAAGCTGGGGGTGGGGTCGGCCGGGAGGATCATCTGAAGACATGGACGAGCATATTCTTGCCATTAAGGTGCTTACAAAATATTTGAAAAGAACGGATACACGTGCACGCACAAAATAACTTCTGAACATTTATTTTCATTGATAAACATTGCAGAGGACCTACTATGTGCTAAGTGATAGAACAAAAATAAAACATGTCATCTCAAATGAACCCACAAACAAGCACAAATGACTATGATGTTTGTGTCTTTTGTCCAGGACCTGGGGTCTGTGCTGTCTTCCTGAGGTTCTCTGTCTTCAGAGAGGCAGCTGGGAATGCAGGCAGAGCTCTGGACAGGGGTCTGAGTGCTCCAGGCCTGGTGCGGCTGCTGTATGCTGTGGCCGTCCCAGCGGGGCATTCACGCACCCGCTCAGCTTTCAGAGAGAGCAGAGGCCACTGTGAGGTGAGGAAGGCATGGTCAGCAGCAGGGGCTGTTCAGAACCTCACAACCAGATTGGTGCTGACCCCTCAAGTTATATCCCATGAGGCTGTGCCTAGGTTGTTGCCAGGCACGGTGCTTTGTGCTTGGGGACACAAAGATGGCTTTTGAGCAAAAGGCTTGGGCTAATAACAGCAAGTGCTGTACTTGTAGGCAGAGGGTTAACAAATAGAGAGGACCCATGTGGTCCCCAGCACCCCCCCCCATGGAGAGGTTTAAAATGTAGGTGTTATTATTACTCAGGTATGATGAAGACAACAGATTGGGGATGGTTGTCGTTGAACGCATAGTTTGTTACTCACAGTTCCCAAGAGGAGGGAGCATGCCACCCCATGCAGGGCCACAGGTCAGTCATGGGGCAACGAGAGGCTTGATTGTGGTTTCCAAGCAAAGGAATGGGTGAGGCAGGGTAAGCAGGCTTAGGAATGGTCAGTTTCAGTAACTTCAGTGGGCTCCAGGGCATAGGAGCTGGCCCTGGTTGTTTGGTACCTGGTCCTGGGGTGATTAGCATAGGTGGCTAATAGCCAGGGAGTATGAGAGCCCAAAGCAGGAGGTAGTTGTGGGCATAGACTGTGGATTGGGATTGCTTGCTTTGCATATAAAAGGTGCACTCTCAGGCGAACTGTTGGCTATCTCCAGGAATTAGCTAGCTCTGGGAGGGGCAGTCCCTTCAGTGTCAGCAAAGCCTTACATGTAATAGCATCAGAATAAAATGACATGCTTAATACATGCTTGGGCTGGGCAAGCTGGATGGATCATGGGTTGTGCTCCAGGAGAGGGCTGCCGCCCCCTGCTGTTGTTCTACTGTTTTACAGGGAGAACTGGAGAACAACTTTGCAAAACAATATGCATGAGGGTGCCAGCTGCTCAGGGGAACTTTATACCAGAGCTAGGCATGCCAGCTGCCCGGTGTTACAGCACCTGGACACCACGGGGAGCCACCAACCTCAGCCAGCTCATTGCTGGCCGTACAGAGAGAGCCACCACCACCAAGTCATTCATCGGAAGTTCCTGTCTGCATCTCCACAATGGCTGGGCTGTGGTGCCTGCCCACAGGAGCTTCACAGTCTAGGAGGGGAGCAAGACCTTTATGCGTCAGATAATAAGAAAACCCAGCACAATGTCATGACAGAGCTATGCCAGGTTTAAAGGAGCAGCACAGAAGGGCCTGGGTCGGGGAGGGAAGGATTCCTGGGAGTGGAGTCCGTGGGACGAGTAGAAGTTGAGACAGCTGAGGCTGGAGGGGTCCCGCTCAGGCAGAAAGGGCATGGCATGGGCCAGGGTGTGGGGGTATAAAGTGCTGTGGCACACCGTGGAGCGAGTGGAGTGCAGAGGTCGAGGTCGGAGGAGTGAGAGGTGGGTTTGGAGAAGGAGACGGGGATCGCATCAGGGCAGGTGGGTCGTGCAGTCATCTGGAGACGGAGTGGGGAGCCACGGGAGGGGGAACATGGAAGGGGTTAGGTTTGTCCTTGAGATAGTTCACACTAACAGCTGTGTGTGGGTGGCAGGGTGGGGACAGATGTAGCAGTGAAGGCTCAGGAACACGCTGCCTAGAAGCTGCTCATGGGATGATTCCCAGCTCCTTTTAGAAGGGCTAGATGGATTCCCAGGACAAAAGCTCCCCCGCCCCATGCCGGTCACATGCAGAAGGTCAGTGCGATCGAGCAGAGAGCGTGGCTAAAGGAAAGCCCACAGCTCCCATCCCTGGAACTGCCTTGTTCTAGCCGTGGCAGACACAAGTTGAAGGCAGCGCGCACAGCAAAAGTATCGGGCAACGTTGTCAAATCGATTCTCCCAGAGAAGAGAGCGAGATGTACAAGATCTCCAGACACAGAAATATCCACCAGCCCCTGCCTGGCATGCAGCCTGTGTTGGTGACAGGTGTGTTTTAAAGCATGGCTATTAATGGCCGTTTGCACGCTCACACACACCCGCTGAAACACAGATGCGTGTATATGGACCTGAGTGTGAACACACTGAGCGACAGAGGCCCACACCTTGAACACACAGATAGCAATATGCACAGATAGGCCTAAAGCATGTGCCACGTGTGCTCATGAAACACGGCCCTTGCATAGACCATTCGCATCCACACCCAGGCACACGGGGTGGGTATGTGCGCCTGCTCTCAGCCCTGATGGGGATGTTTGCCCTCTGGTCCAGGTGGCATCAGTTTAAAAAACGAGGTAATTTGGGATCCAGACAGGTCTTCAATCAGAGGGCTTAAGTGTTCAGGGTGAAGGTGGGGATGGGAGTTGGTAGCTCGCGCAGAGGAAGAGGGTGGGAGAGAGGCAGAGGCCGGCTGCTTTGGTTTGCTGTGTGGGTGTGCACCGCAGTCCCGTACCCTAGGGGGGGCAGTTACCCCCCTCAGATGGGTCCATGATCAGATTCCAATCGGTCAGTCCCTGGCAGCCAGGAAAGGGCTGGCAACTGTAATGGGAAGAAACTGGTTCTATCTCCACAGTCAGAGAGTTTTCAGATTTAGAGTTCATTTTGCCAATCTCCGCATTTTCTAGTGCGTACATGGAGGCCTAGTGGGGACAGTGACTTGCCCGAGGACACACTGGAAGCCACGTGAGGAGGTCCCTTGCTATAACCACACCCCCTGGGCTGCAAGAAGCGCTGCTGAGTCTGCCCAGCCCAGGGTGGGAGATGCACGGCAGCCCCAGCTCAGATTTTCTTGGCCAGAATCAGGACACTGTGAGCACATTTTGGTCCCAGCTGAGAATCTATGACTATGTGGCCAACCCCCTTGCCACCAGAACCCCATCTTGCTCATCTCTCCTCTGTCCCCTCAATCCTATTCCCAGAGTCATATTTACTTTCCTAGTCAAGCCCCTCTCCCAGGGGCGAGCAAACCGCCCCCCTCCCTACAAGTTGCCTGTGACAACATAAGCTCCTTTCCTTTGGTGCTGCTTCAAGACAAGGGAGAACAGCTGGTCATTTCTTCCTGACGCTTTCTGCAGCTAATCTTCAGGCTGGTCCAACTTACAGACATAAACCTTGCAAGCACTCTTTCTAATCTCTGCTTTCTCTAGGAAACAGCTTCAGTGGAGTAGAAATTGGAGGTGGTGGGAGTTTTGGCCAGAGGGCTAGGTTCTCAGTCTCAGCCCTGGAGCTGCTTTTGTTTGTACCTTACTGGGACCCTGGCCCCTTTCCTGGCTGGGGCCGCTGTCATGAGATCTTGTGGAGCTCATTTAGGCAGAGTAGAGAGGGTGGGAGCCTAGACTGGGGCCCAGGACCAGAGACGGGGCCGGGTGTCCACAGTGTGCTCACCACCCTGGGCACAGAGGTTCAATGCCCACAGAGCCTCCTCTGCCACCTCGGGCCCCGCATTCTCTCCAACTTGCCTCTCTCAGCCAGCCTGTGTGTGTTCCTGAAGCTCCTTCCCTGGATGGGTGATTGATTAATTGATTTACATATTTATTAAAATGTATTTTAGTAGCGTCTTTGCCTTTGATGCCAAATCTCATTTCCTATTGTGGGGCTGCTGACAGCCGGCATTGTAAATGCAAAGACACTTTACAAAACAATTTAAATAGCAATTGCCACCAGCTTAAAAATGAGCAAAACAGACAAATAAAATACTGATGAGGAAATTGGCAGCTTCAGGACAAGGAGGGCCAGGGGTTTCTAAGCAGCCAACAGCTCCCGGGATGGTAAAGGCCACGTAATTGTCTCTTTGGAATGGCCCAGATTTTAGGTGTAGATGAAGGGAAGTTAAGAACCACTGCTCTTAGAGCAAAAGGGCCTTGCCCTTAAAGTAGACCTGTCCTCAGGGAACTTTTCTGAGCAGAGGGGGTGACAGGAGCTGTCAGGGTGTGAGCCCTAGATCTTTGCCCTGCAGTCTAGACTTGCAAGGTGGTGTCTGCCTGCTCCAAGGAGCACTGTGGGCCCCGCTGGTCTGAAGATATGGGAGACCAGAGGCCGGATTGTTCTTGTCCAGGCAGTAGGGTGGGAAGAGTGTGGCCGGGAAGTCCAGTCTCTGGATCCTGGCCCCAGCCTGGCCCAGCTGTGTATCTTGGGCAGGTCACACTCCCTCTCTGGGTTTCTGCACCTCCTCTGTGGAAGGCACTGGGGTAGATTTCTAGCGGCATTAACCCGGGCCACTGGAGACCTGGTATCTAGTCTTCTCCACTCCCTCGCTGTGTGACTTCTGGCAGGTTATATTCCCTCTCTGGGCCTCATCACAAGCATGTGAGTGAGGGATGTGATACTTCATGAATCCTTTTTTTTTTAATCTATGGAGTGCAAGGGGCCCACGACATTATGTGGGCCACTGAGGGGCTGATTGGAGGGAGGACGAGACGAGCAGGAGTGCCGTGGAGAGCACCTGCAGAACAAGAGGCCAGAACCAGCTGGAATTTGAAACAGGACACGATCGCAGATCGCACCCTGCCTGAGAAGGGGCAGAGCTGAACGCTGTCAGAAAAGAGGGTACAGATCTCCGCAGGTGAGCACGATTTTGCTCATCCCGCCTGACCTTGTGCGCACACCATCCTCTGGTTGTCATCTCCCCGCCTTCCCGCCTCCCACCTGAGCCTGCTCAGTCCCTGTTGCTGCACCGCTGCCCCCTCCCTCGCTGCCTCCCCGCTGCTAGATCCACTTCCTGCGTGAGCTCATTTGCAGCTATTCTTTTTTTTTTTCTTCCTAAGATGCTCAAATTTTCATTCCAGCCTTGACCTCTTACCAGAACTCCAGTCTCATAAATCCAGCAGCCCGCAGGACATCTCCCCTTAAATATCTTGCCGTCACCATGAAAACATCTAGAACCCAATCCAGCATCTCCTTTCACAAACTACTGCTCCCCCTCCACCACCGGCATTCTGTTTTCCACGCAGCCTTCTTGCTTTAGTTTCCTGTGTCCAGACAGTTAGCAAAAGACACCCGTCTGTGGTGTTTGCAGTTGTCGAGGCGGCTTCCTGCGCACGATCACGCTTCCTTCAGCACGCACGTGCTGAGTGCCTGTTATACGCCAGGCACTGGGACAGGAGGCGCGGAGCAGACACAGGCCCCTGCCCTCACTCCCTGCCTTGGGCCTCTGACTGGCCTGCGTTGTCCCTACAGGCAGAAACACTGCTTCGCTTCTCTTGCGAAGCTTCTCGAGACTTCACTATAGGACATAGTTCAAATTGCATGATCCAGGCATTTTGTTTTGTCAAAAGTTTGGGGAGCACATGTGTAATGAGAGCACCGTGCTAAGCCGAGGGTATAAAGATAGGCCCCTGCCCTTAGGGAACTGCAGACTGGAGGAGCAATGTTTCCACAGGGGTATGCAGCAAACGCAAACCATAATACAAGATACTCACAAGGCAGAGTTCAGCCATTCATTTAACAGATCTTTGTCGAAGACTCGAAATGTGCTAGACACTGTGCTGGGTGTAGTGCGTGCAGAGATAAAAGCAGTAGTCCCTGCCCTCGAGGGGCCCATGCCTTGGTGGAGGAGAAAGACTCATGCTTGTACCCCCATAATATAAGGAAATTTAAAAAAAAAGGAAAATAAATAAATAAATTAGAAAAAATATATACTTAACAGAAATTTAAAAAAAAAAAGACTCATGAGAAGGAATGTTCCCTCCAGTGAGTAGGGGCGATGGAGGCAGGAAGTGTGGGATGCTGGGGGGGGGGCAGAGACAAGGGGCCTGGAACAAGGAAGGGGTCTCAGAGCTCCCCCCTGAACGAGCAGGCAGTAGTCAGAAGCAGAAGGTGGGCGGGGAAGGGAGGGCACTTTGGGGGAAGAGCACTGAGCAAACGCCCGGGGAGAGTGGGCGCTCAGTGCGCCGGTAACAGCAGCTCTGCCAGGCGGGCCCCTGGAAAGACATAAATGTCCATTGAGTGGCACGGACTTTAAGGGCTGAGGAATTCAGCAGAGGTAGAGCCCTTCTGGAGAGATCAGCAAAGGCTTCCTGGAGGAAGTGGGCTTTCAAGTGCACGGAGGATTTGAGAGGTGGGGGTGAGGGAGAAAGGCATGTGGCTCTCAGGGGCTCTCCTTGTCTTGTGGCATCTGAACTCTCCATCTGCTGGCCCAGCCCACCTTTGTCCTTTTTTCGTACTGACCCCTTGGCCCACTCTGCCCAGGATAAACTGGGTGGCTTGCTGCTCCCGTCCTTTTCAGCATCCATGTTTCTGCACTGGCAGCCCGTCCCTTTGCTTGGAAGGACATGATACATAAATAACTGGATGATCTCTACTTTCAAGGAGCTCAAAGTACAGGAGCGCAGGCCTCTAAGGTGCTACGTTCAGATTCGTAGGAAAGAAGGTTGGTTCTAAGCCTGACGATGCTGGAAATTAGAGATGCTTTTCTCTGAATTCTGGCTTATAGTAATATTCATCTACTTTCATCTTGTCCATACACAACAATATCCACAAGCTCTGTGCAAAAATGTCTACATAGCAAGGCAGAAATCTCATCTGAATATTTTATTTGGTGCCTGACACTGTGTTGGCACATGTCTCTGAACACATGGATCATAACCGTTTCTCGAAATCTGGGGATTCAGAGCTTCTTTCTCCTCGAAGCCTTTCTTCTCCCTCCCGCCAAGACAAGTTTCTCCTGCCCTGCTGGGCGCACTTCTCTCTGATGGCTGTGGCTCTTCTCTGCACCTCCCACGCGCTACCTGTGTCATAGTTATCTGGGCATAACTCACCTCTTCTGTTGGCCTGCAGGGCAGGGCTTCTGCTGGTCACCCCAAGGATCCTGGGGTCTGGCATAAGGTCCACATGTAATCAGCAGTGACTGAAAAAGAGAACCCCAGATGTTCGGGGGCCAGAGTGAACCAAGATGTAGAGGTGGGGACATGAAGGGACTTGGTGGGTCTGGATGTCTTGGCTCAGATCCAGAGAGGACAGAGACTATGGGTGAATTGTTATGAATATGTGTGAATTCTTCTTGTATGCATGGTATGACTACTGCATGGAAAATGTTATACTGGGAAGCTCTCACGAGGAAAGCCAACCCTGGGTGTGGGGAAAGGGTCTCACCTGACAGCTGAGGGCTTCCTGGTGTGCACATCAGCACCTGCCATTCTACCTGTCAGGGTGGCCAGGTGGCTCCTTACAATGGAGTCCAGCCTGGAGTGGACAGCCCGGGAGGTGTAGGAACCCTTAGCCAGTGCCTCTTTTGGCTTTGGCTAGAGAGCAAGTAAGGTCTTCATTCATTCATTCATTCATTCATTTATTCACTCACTCATTCATCCTCATTTAATTGCTGATGGCATGCAGGTGCTCTGATGTAGTGGGAAATAAGTTGGCGCCATTTGTATTTCCTGTCATTATTTACTTTTAGGAAAGTCTTTTTTAAGTGCCAGCTTGCGTCTGCTGTGCCAACGGGAGGGACTGGAGTTTTAAGGGCAGGAGTGCACTATGAGGACTAACAGGGTGGGGGCGGTGACTCCCAGGGAACTGGGGACTTGAAGGAGGTGGCCCTGGGAACAACAGAGTGTGACCACCTTAGCAGCCAGTCTTCTCACCAGCTCCTCTCTGCTGAGCGTCAGCGCACTCTGACTTTGTCCTGCACAAGGGTCCTCTCTTTTCATGAGGCAGTGCTGCATAATGGTTAGGACCCAGGCTCTGGAGCTGGTGCACCTGGGGTTACCTCTTCCCATGAGATGGAGCCCCCTAGGGATTGGGAGTAGGAATGTCAACGGTTTTGTGTGTCCTGTACTTCTCAGTACATGCCTCCTAGTGAGTCGTTCATGAGTGACGGCTGTCATTGTCATCATACACAGATGAAAAAGACATGAGGGTCTCTGTTGTCAAGAGGGAGAGAGGAACAAAAATGAAAAGCTAAGGGGTGTGTCCTTTTATTTGTGCGGGGAGGTGGGTTTGCACGGTCTTCGCACTCCTGGCCCGTCCCTCGGTGCCCTTGGTCACACGCAGCTCAGCCAGGGTGGAGCCCTGAACACGACGAAGGAGCTAAGTGGACCCTGGAAGGTTTGAACCCACAGCCTTGGCTGTGTTGGAACCATGGCAGGCAGAGCTTGGGGGCAGCAGCAGATATCATCTGGTCACTTGCTCTCCCACCCCTAGTGCGAGGCGCCCACAGGGGGTGCCTGGGAGACACCAGAGTGTCACAAATGACCCCTCACTTGCCTCCCTGCCACTCCTCTCCAGCCTCCCAGGGTGGGAGCTCCCTCCTGTTCCCTTCCCCAGAGCATCACACAGGGCCATCCCCATGGAAACTGTGCCGGGGACCCTGTGGGAGGATGAGGGAGGCATAAAGAGGGAGAATAATCAAGAATTATTTGTTTGGGGAAAGGGGAAAAGGAGGGGAGAGGGAGAGCGGGAGGGAGGAAAGAGAGGAGGGCAAGGAGAGACAGAGGGGAGAGAGAAAGAGAGGAGAGAGAGGAGAGTCTTTTCTTTGGGGAAAAATGGAAATTTAATCAGATCAGTTTTTATAGTGCAAATAGAAAATCAGTTTTAATAAAGCCAAAAGGAAATGCAAAACAGCCGCTTGAGATGGAGATTGTGTTAAACAGACAGCTCTTTAGGAGTAGCCGAGTCTGGGATGTTTATTGTGCACAGACAGAGCAAGGAGGGGGATTTCTGGCTGAATTTCAAATAGGACTTTGATTTGGCTGGGGGGGTGCAGAGCCTCTTCGCCCCTCCTCCCCACCTCTGGGCCCATCTGTCTGGGGCAGGGGCTCTCCTGAAATGAGAGGAGGACCAGGGGGACAGTGGGACAACAGGGCCACCTTCCTGAAGTGGAGCAAGAGAAGCCACCCTCCCCTTGCTAGGGGGCATGCCCCCAGCACCCCCAGACTTCTGGCCGATCTTACCCTCCTGCCCAAAGACTGGACTGTGCCCTCCATTGACACCCCACTGTTTTTAGCTCCTGATTCTTAATTATAGTTCTGGCCCAGCTCTTGGCTTTATTGCTTTCATTTATTATAAAAAGACCAGTGTCTGTTTTTTGAAACGGCTATCTGGTCAAATCACGGTTGATAAGCAACACTGAGCTGTCTTTTTAAGACAGGCCAAATTTATCACACTTAAAAAAAAAAAAAAAAAAAGCAAGCCTTCGATGGCCTATTAGAAAATTTCCCCCCCTTTTTTCCCAGAGTGACATTTTAGTAAAAGGCTTTATTTTCCCCCTCAGCTTTCACAAAGCCATCGCCTTGAAAGAGAGAGAGGAAGAGAGCGAGGGAGGAGGAGGGAGAGCCGCGGAGTACTTTTGAGGCTGTTCCATAAAATATATGGAGAGGGCACAGAAGATAACAGGATCTGTCCTAATGGGGCTGTTAGCTTAGGAGGAAAAGAGGGGGCCTCTGGCATGTGTTTGTCAGCTGTTATTTTTGTAATTAGAAGAGAAACTGCACTTTCCATTTCAGAAACGCAGTTATTGGAGGCTGTAACAAAGATATGGGGGCCGGGGCCAGAAATCTAGGTTGAGAGGAGCAGGGGGTGGCAGGAAGGGGTGGGGCCGGGTTGGTGGCCCCTGAGGTTAATGAGCTCATCTGTCACCTTTGAAGCTGGCTCAGAACTGGAGAGAAGCCCCGCAGAAGCCCTCTCCGTAGGTCCCCTGTCCCTGCTGAGCAGCTGCCACCACCTTGTATGACAGAAACGGGGTGAAGTCAAACAGTGGGCCCACCAGGCTGCTGTGGGAGGTGAGGACCCAGGGTCCAGGCAGCAATCTTCCTGTGGCTGTGGAAGCCTCTGACCATCTGCGGGGATAGTGACAGGGACTGGGGTGAAGGCATTTTACGGGCTGTGCTAGAAGCAAGTTCTCAGCCCTCGCTGCTTGCAGATTTGGCTTTACAAAGAACAGCGGTCCAAGAGATGAGGGTGGTAGCTGCCCCTCCTGGAGCGGGCGGCGGCACCCTTGGGAGCCAGGCCTGTGTCCAATTCATCTGCAGACATGCCGCAGCCAGGGCAGGGTGCTGACTGGGTGCTGGGTGCTGGAAATCAGAGGCAGCGGGAGGTTCCTCCTGGCCACCCGTGACCTGCATGCTCCTCCCTGACTCCTTTCCTCCCTCTGTGCATGCGGCTCCATTTCTCTTCTGCTTCTTCCTTTCACGCCTTCCTTCCCCAGTGATATCTCCCTGTACCTCACTCCGAACAAGACAGCTTTAATTGCTAAACAGCTTCTTCCTTTTCTCTCCCCGCTGAGATCTGGGTTTCAGAGGAGTGCTACAGACAGTGGCCTCCTGGCCACTCTGCCTACGCCCCTCCTCTGTCCTAGGGTGGGTGCCTGCGGCCTCCTTCCTTTCCCTGGTGGTGAGCCTCCGATACAGCACAATGGGTCGCCTGACATCTGGCCACCTTGGGACCCAAAGAAAGTGCCATTTACAGGAATCTGAGCTGCCCAAATAGAGGGACTGGTGGGGTCGTGGAAAGGGCTTGGGCTGTGGGGCCAGAAGGGGCTGAGTTAGAAACCGGCACTACCATTAGCAGAAGGAGCTTAGGAAAGTTACTTGACTTCTCTGAGTATTGGTTTTCTCACCCGTAAAATGGCACAGGTTTGTTGGGAGGATGAAATAAAATAATGAGTGTAAAACTGTATCACAGGGCTGGGATTCAGGGCGGGGTCAAGGCGGGTGGGATATGTCTGCCTGGCATGTTCTTTGTCTCAGGGGTGAAGGTATGGGCCCAGTGGGACAGCCTGCATGATGGTGGGCACAGATCCTGGGACTCCTGGTCTAATGTCCTTACTGTTAACCTGCTATGTCCTCCCATCTTCCAGCACTGTCTTGGGTAGGCCATTTTCCATTTCTCCAGGCCTCAGTTTCCTATCCTACATGATCCCTAAGATGTTCCATTTCCTAAAAAGGCATGTTCCCAGTCACAGGAATCCATTCTGGAACTCTCTGGATCCTTAGGCCTGCACAATCAAACCATGCCTAGAGATGTTTCCCCCTTTTCCATGGACTTGGATAACAGCCTTGCAAATGGGTCTAACGTTGTTTGAGGACTGCAACTCTCAGCTCCAAGCGAGAGGCACACAGTAGGGCCTCCTACCACCCCAGTCTGCTGGGATTGAGGTGTTTCCCAGGATGTAGGACTTTCAGTGCTAAAACTGAGGGACTGTTGGGCAAACCAGGCTGAATTGGTCACTCTAGGACAAGACTTCAATTCAGGCCTATAAATGTTAGTTGCTGCCCTTCTGTGGGCAAGATGCTGTAGCAGGTATTAAGGCCACAGCAAAGACAGAGACAGGCTTCTCTTGAAGGCACTTAGAGGACAGAACGACATAGCAGTGCAGACAGATTAATTACCCTACAGTGTGTGGCGAGGGGACTGCTTGCATGAAGCCTGTGCAAGATACCCAGGACACCCAGAGGAGGCAGAGGCAAATTCTGGTTGGGTAGTGGTAGTGTGATAGTCAGGAAGGCTTCATGGAGGAGGTGATAGCTGGGTGGGTTTTGACAGCTGAAGAGACGTTCACAAGACAGGGAGAGTGGAGGAAGGGCTGGGATGGGGCACAAGGGGCTTGGAGAACGGGTGGGAGGTCAGGAGGCTGCAGAGGCTGAAGGGTAAGCTCCTCTTCCCTCGTAGCACCAAGCCCAGGGGCTGCCTGGGGGATGCGGTTTGGAAGGAAGGTCTCAGGGCCAGCGAGAGGTTGGGCTGCCTTCCCCACCTAAGGATGGAGACATAATTTCGACAGAGTGTCCCGGTTCCATCTCAGCCTTCCAAGACCTATGAGAATGTTACAGGGCTGCTCCATGCCAGGGCCGCTTGGCTCCCTGGCATGGCTGGGTGCCTGGCCCATGGCTGGAGGCCAGTGGCCCGGAGCCCAGGGAAGCCAGCTGGTGACAAAATAGAGTTGTCCTGGCTTTGGCCAGGCAGACTGGTGGGCTCCGACCCAGGCTGTGATCCCCGCAGGACCTCCTCTTGGAGATATTTAGCTGTGCAGAAAGAGGCCAAGGTGACGGTCTGGCTCTGCGGACAGCGTCCCCCACTCCGTGCTTCCTTGTTTTGGTCACTAGCTCAGGGACTCTGAGGACCCAGCCCCTTTGGGATGGAGCTGAGCTAAGTGACCTGGATGAGATTAATTCTACCTCCCTCTCACCCTGCAGTCAGAGGGCCTGGGGTGATTAAGAAGCCATGGACTGGAATGAGATGGCGAGTACTGGGCCTCCACTCATAGACCGAACCTGGGGACCGGAAGGGACTGTTAAACAAACAGAACAATGATTGACTAGTAGGCAAACCACGTTTATTCCTTTGACTCCTGTAGGAGAGAATGCATAATCTGGGTCTACCTCCAATCTTTTCTGGAATAAAACAAAGTATTATGAACAACTAACCAGCTAACCAATTAATCAACCATGACAACTTGACTGGAATCTTTGAAGCAGAACCGCACAGCAAGAAACCCCAGGTACCAGGTGCCCGGGTAGGACCCAGGCATCTGGCTTCTGTTCTCAGCCCTTTAAGCAGTGGCAATGGCAATGCACTTGGCCTTGAGAGATTTGTTGGTGTCAGAAGCTGCCAGACTTCTTTCTCCTGACCTACAACTGTTTACCAGTGAGTATATATGTTTGGACTCAAGGCTAGAAATGAATTTATATAGGTACTTTAAAAAAACAGATGAGTGGGAGACAATGATGTAGGGCAAGAGCACATACTTAGAGCTCCCTGCAGCAGATGTGGGGCCCCCTCTGGCCCTGTCACTCACAGCTGTGGTCACTAGCTTGGCCCTCTCGTCCCTCCCCTGTGATGGGGAACATTTTGTGCCCCCCCAGCCCCCCCACTTAGCAGGTCTCCCCAGCAGACTGTGAATCCTTGAGAAATGAGGCCTTCTTTTTTCTTGCCTTGATATCCCCAGGGCCTGGCACGAAGTAGAAACTCAATAAATGTTAGTCAAATGAATGAATAAACGTTTGAATAACAAAAAATACCTGCTCTACCGACCTCTCTCAGGATTATTGGGAGGATCAAATGAGATAATGCACATGAAAGCACTTTGTAAATTGCAGAGCACTATACAAATGCAAATCATTCGCAGCTTCGGTGGAAATTATTATTCAAATTATTATTATTATTTTCACAGGAAAGGAGGACAGGAAGGAGAGGGCAATGGAACCAGTCCCTGATGGTGTGGCACTCTGGAGCCTGCCTGGAGCCGATTTAGAGCATCCCTCAGCGGGCAGCCGGAGGGGAGGCGAGCCCAGCTGCCCCTCGGCTGCCCCTGCTTGGGCTGGGGCAGAAGTCGCCGTTGGAATCCCGCCCAGTGTGGGGACTGAGCCGCAAGCACATCTTACCCTGAGCAAAATGAATTAAACGCCAAGCTCTAAATGCAAAAGGGTTTCTTTTCGCTCATGCTTTTGTTTCTCTTTCTCTCTCTCTCTCTTTTAAAATGAAGTGGGAACAGTGGCATGCAAAGAATGGGGTGGTGGGGAGAGAGAGAGAAAAGCCGGGGACCTCAAAACCCGGGGTTCGCGCCCCTCTCCCCCTGGGCTCAAGTTCCCAACGCTATTATCCCGCCTCCTCAACCCCTGGCCTGCGAGAGGGAGGGCGAGCCGGCCGGGCAGCCAAGAGACGCGGAGCAAAGGCGTGATTGATAATTGGCGACTGTAATTCTATAATTCATCTCCCTGCACCGCAGTGAAATTAAAAGAGTTTAGGTTCCCAAGCATAATGATCATCAATTAAACGCCGGGGAGATTTAGTGTCCTCATTTGAATTTTGTTTTATTTATTTAAATGTGTCTCTTTTGCAGCGAGGGGCGCGGGGAGCGGGAGCGGCGAGCCGGGGGCCGGCGGCGGCGCGGGCCGGGGTCCCGGGGGAGGAGCGGGGTCGCGCGGGCTGCCCGGGGGCGCAGCGGGGGCGGCGCGGCCCGCGGGGCGGCGGGCTCTGCGAGACAGGGGATCCATCATCCCGGGCCTAATCAGTTAATACTGATAAACTGCCAGCAATAACTGCCAATTGCGCCGCCGTTTTGGAGCTGCGAGTTCATTCATTTAGGGAGTGCGGCGGCACGTCGGGGAAGCGCTCCCCGCCCGCGTCTTTTGTCTTTGCTCCGGGAGCGAGGTGGCGGCGATGCACCTGGTGCGGGCGAAGGGCCACCGCGCCGACTTCTCCGGGCAAGGGCGAGTGAACGCTGCTTAGCCCGAGGGTGGCCCCGAGGGCTGCGGGGCGCATCTGGTTCCTGGGCCCAGGCTGGCTTGGAGGTGGCACCCGCTTTGAGGAGTCGGAAGGAAAGGGTTTCCCGGCCAAGCCATGGGACCTCTCCTTGTGTAGGGCCACAGAAGGGAGCCTCAGGGATCAGGGGACTTCTGGCCGCACTGCCACTGCCCAGCTGTGTGACTCAGTTTCCTCCTCTGGAAAGAAGGGGGCTGGGCCAGGTGGCCTCCCGGGGCGCTTCTCGCTCGGTGGCTCTACTCAAGCTACCTTTCCGCGCGTGCCTGGAGAGGGGATGGATGACACTCTCAGTGCCCCCTTTCCTCCCCTTGCGTTTGGGACCGGTGCTCTCCGGACGCCACTCCTGCCCCTCCCATCTGAGCCGCTCCCCCCTCCCCACGCGGCTGTCCATTTTTCTGGGTTGGTTACTGCTGCGGTTTCCTGGCATTCTCTGATTCCGACTTCTCACTTGCAATCAAGAGACTAAAAATAGAGCATAAAGGAGCTCTCCAAGGGGGGTGGGTGGGGGTGGCAGAGGACGAGGAAAGTGCTCTGGTTCCCCGTGGGAATGCGACCTCATCAGCTCTACCCAGGGAGCTGGAAATCCAACCCAGACTCTTGGCAAGGGGTGGGGGCGGGTCGGGGAGCCTTCCTGGTAACCAAGTGGGGAGCTGGAGAGAAAATAGTGAGGTCGCGCCTGGGGAGAGAGGGTTGGGGAGAAGCAGAGTGGGGAGACAGCCCTGGGGGGCTTTCTGGGCGTTTTCTGTCATTGGGGGTGGGGACTATAGCATGTCCTACATAGGGGTCCCCACCCAGGTTGAGCGAGACCGGAAATCCCTGGACCTAGGGCCCACAACCAGCCATAGGGCCTTGTATGCTCATTCATCTGCCAGGAGGGGGCGCTCTATTCTAATTTTCACAAAGCATCTTTCCTGCAGGCTGAGGCCCTGCAAAGGCTGAGAAGACCGGTTGTGTAGGTAGGTGTCCTTTTGAGCTTATAGACAAACAGGAACCCCATCAGGGATTTGTTCTTCAGGACCTCAGCATGCTGTCTTTTGGATTGTAAGGAATGGGTGTGTTCAAGCTTGATGTGACAGATGGGAAACTTGGAGGTCTTGGGGCTGGGGCTAGGAGTGAGGGCAGAGGGGGTCTGGGCTCTCAGACAACCATTCTCAGAACACAGGCCACACCCTCCCCTGGCAGAGCTCCCTGGAGCTCAGAAAGGTGAGTGAACCTGTGTAAATTACTGAGCCAGTCCAGGGGGGGGAAGACTCCTGATTCTGGAGTCTGGAGCTTTGGGCTGCAGTCCTGGCTGTGCCACTCTGTGGCCTTGGGCACGCTGCTTTTTTTCCCCTCTGAGTCTCAGTTTCCCCCGTTGTCTAATAGGATGTAATTTCATAAAATCTCTTGTGAGTGGGTAGCTCTACATGTGCAACGGATCATGGTTATGATGTGCATCTCTCATGCATAAGCAGGCAGCAGCCATCCTTATCTTCCAAGGGGCAGTGCAGAGGGAGGACTTTATCTCCACCCTTGTTTGGTGCTGCCTCATAAGCCCCTTTCTTACATGAGTCTGTCTTTAGGATCCAAGACGCTTCCCCTCCTGGGGGAGGGAGGGAAATGGCTGATGGGAGAATCCCGGGACTTGCCGTTTTCTTTGTGCCACCGATTCAAATCAAGATACTGTCTTTCATCCTCCTCTCTGTCTTGCTGAACTCATTCCAGTTCCCTTACCAAGCTGATTTCTATCGAGAGAGTTAGTCCTTGAAGGTGCGGGGATTTCTCCAGCGAAGAAGGGCTGCAAGGAGCCAGGTCCTGCTGGGGCAGCCACCTGCACACCTGAGGAGCTGTCTTCTCTGCCTCAGCTGCAAGGCTGTCTCCTCCTAGTCTCTAAAAATGGACCTCTCATCACTCCTCCCTTCAAGACGACTGAGGGCTTTCCAGATCAATCAGAAGAGAGATGAAGGTGGCCACAGGTCCCAGGGAATGCCCATCTCCCTTTCTGGCTCCATTATTTTCATCCTGTGTCTGGGCCATCCACCCCAGGGTGTTTTCTCTTCCCTGACCAGTTAGCTGTCAAGGGTGTTCTGTGGCTCCTGGGGACGGTCTTTGGACCCTTTGGGCAGAGCAGCAGGTGTATTTTGGATGAGGAGCTATAAGGGGCAAGGACTCCGCCATTTTCTGTGTGGAATCCACAAGGGCATCAAACCCAAGTGGGCATGAAGCCCAACAAAGGCTTTTTAAAAATTACCATGTGCTGTCCTTTTCTCTGATTACAAAAGTAATACATATTCATGGTCAAAAATTTGGAAAATACAGAAAAGCACAAAGAAAAAAAATTCATCCATATTCCACTACCTGGAAACAACCACTATTAATATTTGAGGTGTCTCACCTCCCTGTCCTTCCCTGTCTCGCTGTCTCTTTATCTCTGCCTTTTAATAGGAATCTCACGCAGTAGTACCGTTTTGTCGCCTACTTGGTAACAGGGTATGAGGAGCATTTCCCCACACAACAAAAGCCAGTTGATGAGTGTAGCCAGGTGTTCGGTTGGCGGAATGTGGGACCGCAGGCTCTCAGAGGAGCTCTCAGCACTGACAGATCGGGACTGTCTCCTGTTTCCAGTGGAGACAGAGGACCATGAACTCCACTGGCTGGAAGGGTAGCCCTCGAGGCAGGGCAGTGTGCAACCCAGTGTCCCAAGGATGTCGTGGGGCTTGTGCCAGGCTGATCATGCCGTGTCACCCGAAACCCTATCCCTACATCAACTTTCTTCATGTGTGGGCTCTTGCCCTGGCCACACCAGGCCAGCGGGAGGGAGGGACAGGGGTGAGGTGCCAATCACTTAGAGGCTATAACAATATAACACTAGAATATAAACTAGAAATAACACCAGAAATATAAAGAACTGCCTCATCAGTGACTTGGGGTGGGGAGGGCAGAGAGCCTTCTCCCCCAGTGGGACATGTTTGAGCAACGACAGTAACAGGGAAGATGAGTCCACTTTAACTGCTGAAGTTCAGTTTAGCTAAGCATATTATGCAAGTCTGGGCTCTCAGCCTCTCCAGATGCTGAACAAATAGTTAGAGAATCTTGGTTTGAAGACTCTGCCCACACTCTCTCTGACTCCTGACTCAACAAAAGCCTGTCTACCTGCCCAGGCTGTTTTTTTTTTCCCTGTCTTCAAACAGATCAAGATATCTTTCATTCAACAACAAAAAAATCAAATAACCCAAATAAAAATCGGGCAAAGGACTTTAATAGACATTTTTCCCAAGAGGATACAGAAATGGGCAATACGCATATGAAAAGATACTCAACATCACTAATCATTAGAGAATTGCAAATCAAATACACAATGAGATGCCACCTCATACCCATTAGGATAGCTACTATCAAAAAACCTAAATGACAAGTGTTGGCAAAGGTGTGAAGAAATTGTAAACCTTGTGCACTATTGGTGGGAATGTGAAATGGGACGGCCCCTACAGAAAACAGTATGGTAGTTCCTCAAAACATTAAAAATAGAATTACCATATAATCCAGCAAATCTACCTCTGGGTGTATATCCACAAGAATTGAAAGCAGGGGCTTCGAGAGATATGTGCACACCCATGTTCATAGCAGCGTTATTCACAATAGCCAAGAGGTGGAGGCAACCGATTGTCCATCGACAAATGAATGAATGGGTGAACAAAACGTGAGATATACATGTGATAAAATATTATTCAGTCTTAAAAAGGAAGGGAATCTTGTCACATGAGACAACATGGATAAACCTTGAGGACATTATCCTAGGTGAAATAGACCAGTTATGAAAAGACAAATACTATATGATTCCACTTCTATGAGGTCCCTAGAATGGTCAAATTCATAGAGACAGAAGGTAGAATGGTGGTTGCCAGGGGCTGGGGGAAGAGGTTAATGGGGAGTTGTGCGGAGTTTCAGATTTACAAAATGAAAAAATTCCGGAGATCTGTGACAAAACAATGAGAATATACCCAACACTACTGAACTGTACACTTAACAATGGCTAAGATGGTAAATTTTATGTTATTATTATTTTTTAACCACAATTAGAAAAAAAAAAAAAAAGATACTCCTTTTACCTTCTCTGGCCAGCCCAGCAAAGAAGAGATTTCCGTTTTCAGAACCCCAAAAGTGCTTACACTCTCTAAGTAAGGACACCACTGAGCCCCTAAACTGACCCATTACCTCAACTTCATTTTGGGCAAGTCGTTTGAAAGCAGGGATAAACTCTTCGCCTCTTTAACAGCTCACTTAATGTTTGCTGCTTGGCTGAATTGCCACTTCCCTTGATATATTTTGGACTGTGGGCTGGAGGTTGGTAGATGTTGGGGAGGGCAAATGCAGAGGAGAAAGGGAGGAGGCAGTGTGCCTGGGCATGAGTATTTTTCCACACATTGCCTAAGACTTGTTTAGGCGGCTGCATTCTATTATACTTGCGGTTAAACGTACATATGCTCACACACTATTTTTAGGGGCACACACAATCAGATGGGGTGGGGTGGACTTTGGGCTCCTAATCTTGAGTTAGACCTAAGAAGATGATGTCGTGGACTCTCTTGGAAGCTTTAGACTGAAAAATGTTGAAAGGCATTAACCTAAACCACCCGGGACGTGTACCTAATTTTCCTTTTCTTTAGAATTTCTAGGGAAACGGCTCCAACAGCTCTCTTCAGGAACACAGACCAGTGTTTTACAGCTCTTCTGCCGGGAAAGTTTTTCTTGACCTCTCACCCTCATCCCTCCTGCTGCCATGTAAACTTCTTCTTTGCTGATTTGGAGAACATTCTCTTGCCACCTGATTCCTGGTAGGCTCTTTTAAAAATTGGACTTTAACAGAATAAAGATCCCTGACTTTAGGTATCTGTAATGTTCTCTTTGTAGGGTGGTTCTTCTGCTCGATTAATTGTCTGGTTCTCTTGAAAAGCAATCTTTTCCCCCAGTTCGTGTTGCTCTTTTGACCTAACATGGCCATTCTTGGCCTTTTGAACGGGATTTGCTTCTAGTCAGGAATTAAATTTCCATAGCAACGCTGGCAGCCATCTTAGAAGTCCTCTCCCCGAGCCCTACTTCAGTACCATGGAATCCTTCTCACACAGACAGGTGGTTTGCCTGCTTATAAGCCATGTGTGTATTTATTCTCATTTCAGTCAGGGTGAACGACAGCAGTGGCAACTCAAACTACTAACAGGATGAACAAAAAAATACATAAAGGAGTCTGCCTGCTTTTTGTTCCTGGGGGCCCTAGACTCCTGAGGAAACAGGGGTGTTTACTTTTTAGCTTCAGAACATTTTTTTTTTTAAAACTGGGGATCGGAGGTTTTCATCTCATTTCTGAATCACCCAGGCCTTTTTCTCTAAGCAGGGCCCCCTGCTAAGCTCGATGCAGGGAAAAGACCTGAAGCCTAGCTTTTGGGATTTGTCTGTTTGTTTAAAGTTTATTATTTATGGCTGTTTTTACGTGAACCATAAGAAATGTGAGGCTTTTTTTGTTTTCCACACTTACCACTCGGCTCCCTGTCAGGAACTCTAGAAGGATCTTTGTTGACTGTGGAATCAAGTTCAAACTTCAGAACATGGTCTTCAAGGCCCTCAATTTGCTGGCCTCAACCTGTCTGCTCAGTCTTACCACTCTTGCTCTCCCTTAGTCCCTTGCCCTCCTGCCAAACGGGATATTAGCATGTTGTCAGCATATACCTGACACTCATCGGCTCTCTGCCTTGGGCCCCTGACCTGGCAACACCCTTCCTCCCAACCAACCTGTGGAAGTCCTGCTCCAGCACTGGTGTGTTGTGAAGTAGTTTACAGGAATACACATTCCCCTTAACCCTGAGGGCAGCCAGGTGGCTGGAGCCACCGGAACCCCTCCTGGCCAGTGCTCCCATGCACGGCAGCCTTGTCCGTTTGTCCCAGTGAGTCATCCAGCTGTTACCATGTTCTATGAGAGCTGTGTCATGAACAGGCTGGGAGCACGGCTTTAAGGCTCAGCTCTCTGCTGTCTCCTCCACAAAGCATCTCCTAGACCCTCCAGCAGAAGGCTCTATGCCTTCCTTGGCTGCCTCCCCCAATCCTTCTGGAATGTCTCTGTTCTGCTTTGTATCGTGGGTATTTATTTCTTTTCTAGGCATCCTGCCTCCCTCGCTTTCCCCCCAGGGATTGTAGCTCTTTGAGAATTTTGTTCTCATTTACGTACACTAAACAGTGTCTGGAACTATGTCTTGCCTGTAATTGGGACTCCTTAAATGTCTGTTGATTTGAAATCCAGAGCTTGTGTAACTGTAGTTTGTCCTCCAAGAGTAACTCCTCCTAATACACTACTCTTACTCCAGTTACCCCACCCCTGTTCAAAATGTGTCTGGTATTTCTTTTGTGGAATTATTTTCAGAGAAGGTTTATGAGCCAAAGAATAAAGCTAGTCTCTTTTCTTTAGAATCAAACAACGTGTATTTAATTTTCATTTTGTTGTCATTGTTAGTCAACAAATATCTATTGAACTCCAGGCACAAGATTGTTTCTTAAAACTTAATATAAACGACTTGTCTACCTTATTAGCAAGATTTGGCTCCAAATAAGTTTGGTCTTTTTCCAGAAATCAAATCTATCCTCGAAATATTAAAGGCTTACCATCTTTGAGCAGATTCACAGCAAGGAAAGCAAGGAATACAAAACTGCAAAAGAAAAAAAAACAAAAAACAAAACAACAACCAAGACAGTGGCAATATCACTGGAATAAGTGAGGAATCTCCCCAAGAACCGCCTTGCAAAGGACAACATGAACTTGGATACATAAACTCTGGGATGCTTCTTAAAAAGATTACCTCCCTAGCTTATGTCACTCTTTGTACAGGTATGTGTCATTCAGAAACCTAGGGGACGTCAAGTATGGTTTGTGCCTATAAGGAGCTTATATTCTTAGAGAAGATACATGAATACACAAAGACTTTCATGAGAAATCTTTGCTAGAATTGTGCTGATATTTGAGAAAGCCTCCAAACTCATGAGTCATCATAGCATGTGGTTAAGATTATGCCATTTGGAGCCAACAGATGCAGTTTATGTCCCGGCTCTGTTGCCCAGCTGGGATACCACCGGTGGTTATTTAAAGTCTCCGGAGCTTAAGTTACTTGCCTGTATAATGGGAGGATGGTGTTTACTCCACGAGGCTGCTTTAAAGATGAATGTGGACCATGGCACACAGCTCTTCTGATTTCAAAGAAAATATCTACAAACATTTGGATTATTATTTTTTTCCCCCAGCAAATGGAGGGCTAAGGAATAAATTGCTGCCTTCAAACTTTTGGACTTAGATTACAGACTGGGGTTTAAGATGTTCTCGGGTTCCTGTGAAGAGAATAGTAAAAAAGACCTGGCATTTCTTTGCTATAAAAAAAATGCTAGGACCAGATCTCACGAAGAACTTCCTCTGCAGATGGTTAGGCAGAGCAACAGACGAACAGAGAAGACCGAGGAATTATTTATTGAGAAGAAGGAGCCTGGCGTGGCTGAATGCATTAAAAATAATTCTTGCTTTCTTTAGTTGGGACCTTCTTCTAAGCTGTGGGCTCTGCTTTAGAATACAGCTGTCGCTCCTTCCTTTGGCATGGGGCTGTAGGCCTTGCTGGTCCAAATTCAACTTCTCCAGAGAAACAGGATTATGCTAATAGATACGGTCACATTCTAAGTGCCAGGCACTTCGCACAACTCAACTCCTTTAACCCCAGGGGGTCGGTACCCGAATGGTCTGTGTCTTATGGGTGAGGAAACAAAAGCCCAGAAAGCAAGCAAATTGGCCTAGGTCACACAGCCTGTTGGCAGCAGAGCTAGGATGTGAGCCCAGCCAGTCTGGCTGCAGAGCCCACTCTCCAATCCTCCCTCCTTGACGCCACCTGCTTCAAGGATTTACAGATTAGTCCAAATGAATTAATTACTTATGTGTCACGTTTATTACTAGTCCCCCTCCCACCTGTATCTAGGCTCTATGAGGTCAAGCATTTTTGTCCTTTGGTATTTTTTTTTTTTGAGACAGAGTCTCACTTTGTTGCCCAGGCTAGAGTGAGTGCCGTGGCATCAGCCTAGCTCACAGCAACCTCAAACTCCTGGCTTCAAGCAATCCTCTTGCCTCAGCCTCCTGAGTAGCTGGGACTACAGGCATGCACCACCACACCCGGCTAATTTTTTCTATATATATTAATTGGCCAATTAATTTCTTTCTATTTATAGTAGAGACAGGGTCTCGCTCTTGCTCAGGCTGGTTTTGAACTCCTGACCTTGAGAGATCTGCCCGTCTCGGCCTTCCAGAGTGCTAGGATTACAGGCGTGAGCCACCTGCCTGGCCTGTCCTTTTGTATTAATTGCTGAATCCCAAGTACCTAGAACAGTGTGGAAGGACATAAGAGATGCTTAATAAGTATTTGTTGAATAACTAAAGTTGCTATTTTATCATTTTTTTAAACCTTTCTTTTCCTTTTTTCTTAGCACATGGCTTTTTAGGAGTTCTGATCTGTGTGTCCCCGGGCCTTTTTCTGATGGTCCTGTTGCATGCAGGTGGATTTCAATCAGTGTTGTTAATCAACACACCAGATCTTTTCCGGGGACAAACATGTTCCCAGTCTGAAGCTTTTTTTCTGCGGGCACTTTTCTCAGTTAGAAACAATCCTAAGCCTTGAAAATCAACTGGTCTTGGTAAATAAGGCCCGTGGACATGATTTTTCTTATTTGTTCAATTTTTTCTTTTTTAAGTCAAACGTCTGTTGGTGGGATGTATGTTTCTCTTTGTCACAGACAGTTGTCTTACTCGCCCATTTTCCCTCCTCGATACTAAATGGGGCTCTGTGGTTCTAGTCCAACCCCATCGTTTTGTGGCTGGAGAAACTGAGGCCCAGAGGTGGGGGCGGCTTGCTCATGGTCCTGTAGCTGGCAGAGGCTGGAATTAAGCTCTGATCTGCCTAATCCGGTCCAGCATGCTTCCCCCCACTATGTGCTGGGGCAGGAATGCCGTGTCTGATTAGGAATGAAACGACTATCTCGGCTGGGCGTGGTGGCTCACGCCTGTAATCCTAGCAGTTTGGGAGGCTGAGGCGGGAGGATTGCTTGAGGTCAGGAGTTCGAGACCAGCCTGAGCAAGAGCAAGACCCTTATGTCTACTAAAAAAAAAAAGAGAGAGAGAAAAAAGAAAAAGAAAATGGTTGTCTTTGGTCCAGGGGACGGTGAGTTTGGGGGAAGGAATGAAGGCGAGGAGTTGAATGGTGACGAGCACCTCTCCTTGGACTCCACCACCACGCTGCTGCTGTGTGTGTTGGCATCCCCTTCCAGTGGTGGTATTTTCAGCAAATGGGAGGGGAGTAAGATCTCTCTCTTTCTCTCCCCCCACCCCCATTGTAATTAGTTGTCAAAAAATTTTAGATGGAAGGGGGAAAGCTCAGGTCCTGATGAGATGATACAGCAAAGATTTCATTTCATCTTGAATTTGACATTAAACTTTAATAGTTTCAAGGACAAGAAGCCAAGAGATATCAGATGTAATGAGATAAAGCAAAGTTTCTCTGACAGCAAATTTGATCACAAATGGGCTCCGAGATTGCTTCTTTGATATAAATGAAACATAATTCATCTTCCAGCACCCTGAATGGGCTTCCAGGCTGGGGACGAAGCTGGCATCTCTCTTGCCTGGCGCTGACAAGTGGCAGCACAGGGAGGAGGTGGAGGCTTGGCTGGACCCTGCGGGCAGTTCCGCCGGTCCTCCTGGAAGGGACGAATGAGCAGCCGCAGGAGCTGGAGGGCGTGGGGTGCAGCAGTGTCAGGGAGACCCTTCCACTCTGAGCCGCGGTTTTGGCTCGGGAGACTCTCCTGAAACTCAGCGTGGCAAAGAGGGCGTCAGACAGTGGGGGACCCCTCCATGGGAAACTGCTCTTCTGGTATTTTCCTGGTTTGGATGTGAGAGGGGCACAGCAGTTCATACTTCAATGCCCTGTTCACTCTCCCTTGAAATGTCTTCTTAAAACAGCTCCTTTCTCGCCAAGGGTCCTGTCACTGCCCAAATCCAGACCCGCATGGTGTCGAGGCCAGGGTGGCGTGGAGGGCTCTAGCCTCCCAGGCTCCGTGGGGGCTCCCCATGTGTTTTCTTGCTCTTGCACGAATGACCACGTCAATGCCTTCGGGACCTGCTCACTGCCTTTCCACAGGATCGCTGCCCTCAAGTCTGTCTTTTGCAGACGTTCAGCTGGCAAACTTGCTGGTTTGGCTCCTCAAGGTCTGAGGTCGGGGCTCTTGCCATAGCCTCCCGCTAGCCTTCCGCTGGCCTCATGGCCTCTGGCCTTTGCCCCTCCTCAGGTCACAAATCTGTAGAGACTTGAGGACAGATGCCTTAACCTGATGTCCCAAGCCCTCCACCACCTGGTGACTTCTCTCCCCATCCCCCCATCCCCCATGCCTCCTCCAGTGCTCCCGGTCATGGCCTCAGCCCAGAGAGCAAACCCAGCAAGCCACACCCTTCTCTGTGCTTTGGTGCTTACAGTCCCAGCCAGAAGCTTTTCTCCTCCTGGTCAAACCTTACTCACCCTCCTTCAATCTCTAAGGTCACATCTGCTGAGAAGCCATCCCTCCCCAGCTCTGCCGGCAGGCAGTCTCTCTCTTCTGGGTTCCCAGACTCCTTTAAGACTCAGAGTCATCTTCCCTGTCCTGTTGCTATCCCTGCCTGCATCTGCCCCCTTTTCCAGAGCAGGAGCTCCATGGGCCATGTCCTATCCATCCATGTATCTTCCTGGGTATGTCATGGTGCCTGTCCTGGAGCAGGTGCCAGTGAGGATGCATTAGGTGAAACTGAATCCCAGCCCATGGCTCGGCCTTCTGGGACGTGCCAGGCCCAGTTTAGCAGACAGCTTTCCCCTAGGGTTGAGAGGGTCAGAATGCATGCACCCGTACATCTCAGCCTGCTGTGGTTTGGATACTTGACCCCTCCAAATCTCATGCTGAAATTTGATCCCCAGTGTTGGAGATGAAGCCTAATGGGAGGTGTTTGGGTCATGAAACCTGATCCCTCAGGAATGGCTGGTGCCATCCTCAAGGTTATGAGTGAGTTCTTGCTCTGTTAGTTCCTGCCAGCAGTGGTTGTTAAAAAAAAAACAAGAGCCTGGCACCTGCCTCCCCTTTTGCTAGCCGCTTCTCTCGCCATGTGATCTGCACACACCAGCTCGCCTTTGCCCTCTGCCCTGGGTGGAAGCAGCCTGAGGCCCTCGTCTGAAGCGGATGTTGGTGTCCTGCTTCTTGTACAGCCTGGAGAACCATAAGCCAAGTAGATCTTTCTTTATAAATTACCCAGCCTTGGGTATTCTTTTATAGCAACACAAATAGACCGAGACACTGCCTCAGTAGAACAAATACACCTAATGTAGTGGTTCAAACTAAATAACTTTGTCCAAATTCTCCTTGATTGAAAGTTTGGGATTGCAAAGTTGAGACCAGAATATCTGCTGACATCATCTTTTCCTCTTTCCTTGGGGCCAGAATGAGGGTTGTCATGAAAACATCTTCATCTTTCTCCCCTGAAGGCAGCCTGAACATCCTGAGGGGGAGGAAACTCTCCTTGGGAAGGGGGGATTGGGTTTGGCATTACTTAGGCTGAACAAAGATGCAGCCGGGGCAGGCCAGGTTAGAGAAGGGTATGCGTGAGAGATAGGCTAGGTCTGCCCTAGGAGGCAGAATCAGAGCTGGGAAGCAAGGACTCGTGGACCAATTCAAGGGGAAGCTGAGCTTGAGAGCCCTGGGTCAATTCAGAAATGTAGATTTAGCCCAAATGTCCATCAACAGATGAATAGACAAACAAATTATGATATATACATATACTGGAATAAGGAATGGAATACTGATATACATTACAATGTGGATGAACCCCAGAAATATATATATTTTTGAGGCAGGGTCTTACTCTGTCATCCAGGCTAGAGTGCAGTGGCATCATCATAGCTCACTGCAACCTCCAACTCCTGGGCTCAAGTGATCCTCCTGACTCAGTCTCCCAAGTAGCTAGGACTATAGGTGCATATTACCATGCCTGGCTGATTTTTCTATTTTTTGTAGAGACAGGGTCCTGCTCTTGCTCAGGCTGGTCTTGAACTCCTGACCTCAAGCAATCCTCTTACCTCAGCCTCCCAAAGTACTAGGATTACAGGGCTGAGCCATCGTGCCTGCCTGCACCTCAGAAATATTATGCTAAGTAAAAGAAGCCAAACACAGAGTTCATATATTATATAATTCCATTTGTATGAAATGTCCAGGATGGGTAGATCCATAGAGACAGAAGGGGGATTGGTGGTTGCCAGTGTCTGGGAGGAAGGAGGAATGGGGGTGGGTGGGTATCTGCTTAATGGCTATGGGGTTCCCTTTTGGGGCGATCAAAATGTTTTGATTGAGCTAGACAGAGGGGTGCTGGTTGCAAAACATTGTGAATATGCTAAATTCCACT